TGTTGTTTGTTTGTTTGTTTGTTTTCCTTACCAAGGATTGAACTCAGGGAAACTCCACCACTGAACCACATCCCCAGCTCTATTTTCTATTTTATTTAGAGATAGGGTCTCACTGAGTTGCTTAGCTCCTCACTTGCTGAGCCTGTCTTTGAACTTGTTATCCTCCTGTCTCAGACTCCTGAGCGGCTGGGATTATAGGCATGTACTACCCTGCCAGACTAGAATTAGTTTTGATGTTGAAATGAATAGGAATGAAGGAATGGGCAATGTGGGTAGTCGGGCAAGGGAGGCAAACTTCCCAAGGTCACTGCACCCAGGAGATGGCCCCAGTACTTGATGTGAGGGAGCCCATAGCAATCCTATGTGCAAATCCAGCACATTTCAGGCCATGGCTATTAAGAAAGAAACAAYTGTGGAATATTCCAGAAAGTTTATCGACATGGTAAACCACCACCCATGAGAGAATGTGAGTTTCCAATTGACATCAAGGTGAGTACATAGGAAAGAGTTCCATCTGTGTTATGGTAATTTATGAAAAGTTAATAGTTTAAACTTTTTCATATAAGATTCTACATTAGCCACTTAGTTCTTCCTATACAAATGACTTTTCCTTAAACCTCATATTCTTTTTCTTAACTGAACTGTATCTAGATGATGGACAATCTGGCATTATATATTTTAATTTTTGATGCATTTAAATATTTTTATCATAATAACCAGATATGTATTGCAATTTAAAAGTCTATTACTTTGTAGACTTCCATCTTTATTATAAAGTTGTTGCATTGATCATATTAGCTGAGTTACTAGCATTTTTCACTGGATTTTTCTCAATGTGTTATAAAAATGTTAAATCCTCATATTTTACTGTTTTATTGATCATGTCATATCAATGTGAATTTATAACAGCTGATTTACATTAAATATCATAAAATATTATTGTAGTAGTCAAGATTTAAAGATTTCTCTATTTCACTATTGTACATGATTGAGCACCATCTTCTAATGTAAATCTCCCTAATCTTGCTTCACTTCTAGAGCATATTTTTAGGATTGAGKTTGCTAGTATGAAACTCAAATATGTTTATGACTGAAATTATTTACTAATATGTTTCCAAAAGACTTAGATGAGTAAACCAGTTTCATTGCAATTTTAAGACATATAATTTAAAATACCATGGATTTTTAAAAGATACATTTTGTTATGAGTGATTTGATTTCCATCTCACTTTGTATATGAAGAAGCTGCTTAAAAATAATGCTGACCTCAAGATTTTATAACATCCTTTTGATTTATACTTTGAAATTATACTAATAATAACTGATTCTTATAGGCCAGGCAGCTTGACATGTGCTAACTCTTTAGTAGCTAAAGAGTTGAAAGCATGGTTTTTTCTTTAATGATATAGTATTAGCCAAGTTAGCTGGGATTCTAGTTTTTGATGGCAGACACACAAAAACTTTTAAATTTATTAGAGTCAGTTTAGGCTAGTAGAAAATTCACCAAGATAGTAGTATTATAATTTTAAGTGACAAAGGAATATTTATGAAGAACATGAAATAATAGTTGATATATTACTTTTAACTAAGCATAGAATATATTTAATTTTTTTCTACTGCTGCTTGTTTTCTGTTCCAGGATTCAAGACAAGATATTTGTTACATTCAAGACAATCACCTTTCAAAAGATTTAAAATCACAGACTCTGTAGCATAAACCATGAGCACACTATATTCCCTATAGCCAATGTTTTGAACCTAGTTTTAGAAACCCCTTTATTTGATAAAAGTAGGAGTTGTTTTGTTTATAGTTAATAATTTTTTAAAAATTAAATAGTTTTGCTCTTAAAACACTCTGTAAGAAGGAAGTGTCTTTAAATAAGTCTTAAATATGACTTATTTAATTATTTGTTTAATATTAGGCCATGTCTTTAAGACTCCCACTCCCTAAGGTTTCCTTTATACAATGAGTCTAGCAAAACAGGAGTGAGTGCATGTGGGTCTGAGCACACAATAATGCATGCAGTGGCCATCAGGGACATTCAAATGTATCATGTATCTAAAAACATATTTTTCACTATGTCTGAAAAAATATGATACGTTTTCATGCACACATTCTCATGCAGATTTGAAGATGTATAACATACTTATCAGCCTTGGTCATGGTGAGGCAGAAATTAGGAGTAAGCATGATGTCATGTCTGCTCTGAGTCAGGGGCTATATGGCAACTGGTTCTCACCACATATGGTTTCCCCTGTGCTATAGACTGCATCAACGTTTCTACCTGAAGGGTCTAATCTGGTCCTCACAGGAGTCCTATTGATAGATGTTCTAACTAAACCCGGATGCAGAAGTGTGACCTGAGGCTCACACAGAATTTTAAGAATTGTAAGTAACCAGATCCACACCATAGAAAAGAGAGAAGATCCTGAATTTACACCCAGGCCTGCATGAGTCTAGAGCCAGGGTTCTCACTGGATTCACTTCATTCTCTTTCATGCTTAGGACTATAGTAAGCTGACCAGAACTGACTCAAAAATGGATACTCTTTCTTTTATAATAAATAATTTTTTGACAGTTACTGAGAGGATATTGAGTTCATAGTGTAGATATTGGTTAGAAATGTATACAACCAGAGATATGAAAAATTGTGCTCTATGTGTGTAATAAGAATTGTAATACATTCCACTGTCATATATAAATAAAAAAATAATTAAAAAGTATATAAAAAAAAGAAATGGTCCTGAGATCACAGTGAAAATGGTTGTTTCAAAGTAAGCAGAAGGACAGATAATAATGTAAATATTGCATGATTTTAGTTCTATTAGTATTTAAAAGTGTTTCTGTTAACTATAGCATTTATAAAATGAGCTTATTTTCTAATTCTCCATGATAAACACTATCATTCTTTTATTTTCATATTTAAACGTACATATATTTATGCATATGGAATTATTCATACAAATATATGCTGTTTGCCTGATTCATTACACTAATTTGTACAGGCAAGGATATAATCATCTTTTGAATCTGTGTCCACCTGTGAGAATGTGACATGAAGAGTTCAGGTAATAATTAAACAGGCGTGGTAGGACAAGCCTGTAATACCAGCAGCTTGGAGGCTGAGGCAAGAGGATCAAAAGTTCAAACCATCCTTAGCAACTTAGCAAGGTCATTGCAAATTACTAAGGTTCTGTCTCAAAATAAATAATGATGAAAGGACTAGGGATGTGGCTAAATGTTTAAGCATTCCTGGGTTCATTCAAATAATTATTATCTGCATGACTGATGGAAATACTTTGTGTGAGTAAAACAGCTGGCTTTTAATGTGAGCACATAATAACCACAATTGGCATGGACAAATTATCATAAGCAATATTTTCACATTTTCAAATTTGACCCTCATCATAATCCTGGGAAATGAGCAGGTAAACTATGTATGATATTTCTACTTTAAAAGAAAGTCATATGTGCTTGCCTCACATGCACAAGGCCCTGGGTTCAATCCCCAAGACCCGCCCCTGCCGCACCTAAAAAAAGAAAGTCATATAAATGTGAGATGCATCTTGAGGAGTTCCACTTGATCATACTGGGAATATTGTATAAAAAAACTGGAAAATGATCAATAAGGCCTAAAGACTCTAATTTATATTCAACACCTGTTTCTCTTTCTTACCTATGTGGTTGATGTCAATTGTCAAATGGAGGTTGTTGGGCTGTCACCGTCTGGCTCCTCATCACTTGGTCTTTCCTTTATCACAATGTCACATCATTTAAGTATGAGGGGCCTTAATGTTTCATGTGGACACAGTCTCTAGAAAGGCCACCCCTGCTCTGAAGTTCCTGACAGAAAAATTCCTACYACTTTCCTTGTTGACCCAGTGGAAAGGGTCTGGGCACAAGGACAAATGTTTCTATGTAAGATCCCTGATCCAGGAATATTTGCTTATTTAAACTCAATATCTTGAAGCCTGTGTTTCCTACCAGTAAAATAGGTTTAATAAGACTTAGACGAACCCCTAGACAGAGGGCTCTGTGTAATTTCTCTCCTTGCCTTATTTCATTTAGTCATTAGTACCATATTTGGAGCTAGACTTTATTTTGTTCATAAATTTCTGTTCTCATTTTTAAAGATTAATAATAATAATAATAAAGATGTCAACTTTCAATGAGGTATTAAGTACATAATAAGACACAATTTTATAGGTATTTGTCTCTTTTTTGTTTGTTTGTTTTTAAATATTTTCAGTTGTCAGTAGACCTTTATTTTATTAATTTATATGTGTTGCTGAGAATCAAACCCAGTGCCTCACACATGCTGGACAAGTGCTCTACCACTGAGCCACAACCCCAGCACCCCCACCCCCCACTCCCAGGGTCTTTGTCATTTATAAAGGAAGAATTAATCCATGACAGGTCAAATTCAGAATAGACTGTAAAGAGATTTGATATATAGATAGAATTTTTAAATGCCTCCTAAAATGAATGATGTTTCTTCTTCTATTTGTAGGTATGAGAGTCTCCAGATAAGAGACGACTTGCTAGTCATCCCTGCCCCTTTCATTACAATGACAAGAGGACTAATAAAATCACTTCCTCATTTTTTTATATGAATGAGACTTCAGAACACCTCCCAATGATTCACTTAAGGCAAACACTAGTAAATTCTCAAAGGTGGCATATGAGTTAATTTTATTAACCTCCTCTACCACATGAGGATGCTTCCATTTATCCATGTAGAAGTTCTAGCAAATATAAAGTACAGAACAAATTATATCCAAATCATTTCTGCCTGCTCTCCAACCTCTATCCTCAATAAATGTCTAAACTTGTGTTCTCAATGTCAAAAGAAGCATTAAAGATAAAGGTGCAGCTAGGTGCACTGAAATATTGATGATGATAAAGCAATAACTTGACATGAAGCAAATCTTCCTTAATCAAAATTGCAAATTTGAATTGGATAATTTCAAAAACTGTTTATTTTCACCATTCCCTTGAAAATGATGCAAAACCAAAGCTTCATAACTGAATTTGTCCTCCTGGGGCTTTCACAGAATCCTATTGTTCAGAAAATAGTATTCRTTGTGTTTTTGTTGGTCTATATTGCAACTATTGGAGGCAACATAATGAYTGCACTGACCATCCTCTGTAGCCCTGCACTGCTGGGCTCCCCCATGTACTTCTTCTTGGCATCCTTATCCTTCCTGGATGCCTGCTTCTCCTCAGTCATCACACCAAAGATGGCTGTGGATTCGCTGTATGAGAAGAAAACCATCTCTTATCAAGGATGCATGATGCAAGTATTTGCTGAACATTTTTTTGCTGGGGTGGAGTTGATTGTTCTTGCAGTCATGGCCTATGACCGCTATGTGGCCATTTGCAAGCCCTTGCACTACTCTGCCATCATGAACTGGAGGCTCTGTGGCATTTTGATGGGGGTGGCCTGGATAGGGGGCTTCTTGCATTCCATCATACAGATTCTCTTTACTTTCCAGCTGCCCTTTTGTGGCCCCAATATCATTGATCATTTCATATGTGACTTGTACCCATTACTGGAGCTGGCCTGCACTGACACTCACATCTTTGGACTTTTGGTAATTGCCAACAGTGGATCTATCTGCATGATAATTTTCTGTTTGTTGCTGGTCTCCTATGGCGTCATCTTATTCTCCYTGAGAACACACAGTGCTGAAGGGCGGAGGAAAGCTCTGTCCACCTGTGGATCTCACATTACAGTTGTGGTTTTATTCTTTGTCCCATGCATATTTATATATGCAAGACCTCCTTCTGCTTTCCCATTTGACAAAATGGTAGCCATATTTTACACCATCCTAACTCCCTTGCTCAATCCTTTGATTTATACTTTGAGGAATAAGGAAGTGAAAAATGCCATGAGGAAAGTGTGGAAGAGAGTGGTGGTGGTTTCCAATGAAAAATAAARTATTAGACTTTAGAAAAAAAAGTGTAAACTTAAAGAAATAAAAATGGCATTAGACCACAATATTATGGGCTGCTGATTATCTGTGAAGTAAATACCAATTCTATAGAAAGTACAATATTTTGGGGGTCAGAGATGATACTTTCACTTTCACGTCAGTTGGCAACTGAATATCCTGATATGTGAATTAAAGAGAAATACATTTTATTCTTATATAAACCTATTGATCCATAAAAAATAGATAGAAAAATGCCCATCAGACGCTTAGCCATTGATCCCATGCTTTAAAAACATATGTGGAAAGTCAACAAAATTTCTTAAACCTTCAGGATTCAAATGTACTCTATTTAAAGTGGACAACTTGTAAAATACTTATTATTATYATTACTTTCTGCAGAGCTGGTGATTAAATCAACAGCCTAGTAAACCCTCGTCAAGCACTCTACTATTGAACTATGGGCCCAGCTGGCAAAAGGACGTTTATTTCCCATTATCTTTTTCTTTTCTTTTTGTTTTTCAYTTTTTCTTTTTAGAAGTAAGATTCATTTTGATATAAATCAAAGAGCATGGAATATAATTTACTCTAAGTCATTCCCCAGTATTTCCCCTTTCCCTTCCTTCCTCCCTCTTCCTGTTTCCTTCTCTTTCTCCTATTTACTTTTAGTTATTTTTTTTCAAGTTAGTGTTTTGTGGATATTTTATGATGATGGTGCTCAACTGTGTGATATTCATCCATGTACATACGAAAGTTAGGTCAGATTCATTCCTCTGTTCTTCCCTTTTCCCAGCCATTCTCCCTCCCTTTCAGTACTTTGATGGAATTCTTTGCAACCTTTTCCCTCTCCCTCCTCTCTGTTTTTGCTTGTATTTTGGACTAGTGTCCACGTATCAGAGAAAATCCAACCTTTGCCTTGATGAGTCTKATTTATTTCACTTAGCATGTTAGTCTCCAAGTTCTATTCATTTACCATCAAATGCCATAATATAATTCTGTCTTTCTTTATGGCTGAGGAATATTCAATCCTTGTGTAAATATACACATTTTCTTTATCTATTCATCTGTTGAACAGCACCTGATTCTGTAGCTTGGCTATTTTGCTGTCACATTGATGTGACTCTATCACTATAGTGTACTGATTTTAGATCTTTTGGATATATACCAAGGAATGAGATAGCTGGATCATGTAGTGCTTCCATTCCTAGATTTTGAGGAATCTAAATGCTGTTTTCCAGAGTGGTTGAACTAATTTGCAGTCCCACCCACAATGAATGTTTGTAACTTTTTTTGCCACATTCTTAACAACATTTATTATTATTTGTATCTTTGATAATTGCCATTCTGACTGKAGTCAGATGATATCTTAATGTAGTTTTGCTTTGCATTTCCCTCATTGGTAGATATGTTGAACATTTTCATTACACATTTCTTGGCCAACTGTGTTTCTTCTTTTGAGAAATGTCTGTTTAGTTTCTTGGCACATTTATTAATTGAGTAGCTTTTTGGTGTCCAGTTTTATGGGATCTTGATATAGTCTGGATATGAATATCCTATCTGAGGAGCAGGCAGCAAAGATCTTCTCCCATTCTGTAGGCCCTCTCTTTATGCTTTTGTTTCTTTCATTGCTCAGAGATTTTTAATTTCATGCCATTGATCTAATGATTTTTTACTTTTATGTTTTGCACTTTAGGAAATCTTGTTAAGGAAGTCGGTTCTTTTTTCAACATGTTGAAATTATCTTCTAGTTGCTGCACAGTTTCGAGTCTAATTCCTAGGTCTTTGATCCACCAGATGAAAAAGTATTTGAGTTAGAGTGGTGAACTCTTTGACACTGGGGGAAAACATTTCAGGAAGGGTATAGAGAAGAGCAATAATAGGCCCTTCACTGTAGGAGTTCCTACATCACATGAATCTATCATTTAGCATGGGTCCATTACATTTACTGMAGAATTTGAGTCACTCCTTGAATTTCTTGACAGATAAAACCTGATTAATCCAGTGCTACCTATGAGCTCCTCTTGGGTTAGGTGACTTTCTTCTATCCATTGGCTTTGGAAGAGAAGGGGCAGAAGATTCCATGAGGAAGTTAGCAATGAGTATCTCTTGTTCAAGAAAAATCAAAGGAAATTTTTGAGTTACCACAATACCAAAAAAAAATAAAAATAAAAAAATCAGGACCAGTTGTGCATATAGAGAGCTTACTCCTCCCATCACCAAAAAAGAGTAAGTCCAGATGCACCAGAGAGTAACAGGCTGTTTCAAAAGATTATGTTTAAATTTACTCAATGATTTTAGTTTTTGTAAGTAAGTGCACCCAAGTGAAAATAATTCTGTTTGATCAGTTGTTAATAAAGAGATCATTCAACTATAGACACATCTTATATGTCACTCACACAGTGAAGTTTATCTAATCTCAGATTGTCATGTGACTTCTGGAATACATAAGATTAGTGAGCAAAATGTTTCAGTTTCCCCTAGCCCGTTAACAGTAATAAATGTCTGTTGTGTAATGTCAACAAAAAATCTAAATCTTTCATTTCTTTCCTTAATCTCCATGTAAAATCCAAGGAGAAGAATGCAGATGTTATTTTTCTTTGTCAGAACAGACATGTCAAAAAATAGGTAAGATTAATTGGTTTCTCTTTGAAAAGCCCACAAGGGATTTCCATTAGCATTTAAACATCATCTGGACAAAGTGAATACACTGTAACCCACCAGCAATTGTACTACACACATTGTCATGAGAGTGGAATTGTCCTATGCTTTCCCTTTCTTCTCCACCATGTTTATTCTCATGGCAGGGGTGACTTCTTCATGTCTTTTCATTTCACCTAGGAATTCTCATCCACAAACAGTTCTAAGAAATAGTTTGAGAAATGAACATCTATTATCACTGGCTCAATTGCTTTATAATTCATAAATCTATGAATCCAAGATTTGAAATACTATAAATGAAATATTATTCTGTACATATTATGGTGACCACTACAGATTAATTACAGATTTATGTCTGATCCAACATTAACTTGAATTCAAACACATTTTGTCATTTTATCTCCTGACTTTTCATTTTATATTCCCATAAGGAGATCTTTCTTGACCCCCTCTTTCTTTCTCTCTCTTTCCACTTGCCCCACTAACACTTGTAAAGAAARCATAATATTCAGCAGAGAATTGAGAAAACACTGAGCCTGGCTTGGTGCCTCATGCCTGTAATCACAGCAGCTTGGATGGCTGAGGCAGGAGGATTACAAGTTCAAAGCCACCCTCAACAATTTAGAGAGAACTTGTCTCAAAATTAAAAAAAAAAATGAAAACAAAAAAAAACAGAGAATTAAAGATGTGGCTCAGTGGTTAAGTGCCCCTGGATTCGGTTTCTAATACAACACACACACACACACACACACACACACACAGAGGAAAAAAAATACTGAAAGATATCCATCACCAAATTTCCATCCTTAAAACTATAATGAATGGAATTCGTCAGAATTCTCTCAACAGTTGTCTTAGCTTTGCTTTCTGTTTTCTATGTTGATCTTGCTTAGACATGGTGAAATTTAGCCTAAATTTATCCCTATAATTTAGGTATTGTAACTGTTGTGCTAATTATATGTGGACTTACTGTATTTACTTCAGTTATTCTAAGACATGGTAGATAAACAATACCAATATAAAAATTGGAAATTGAAAAAAACATATCTGTATATCTGAAAGAAAACAATGGAAAGTTCATTTAGAAATGAAATAAATAAATGATTCAGGAACTAGATCATATCACATCATAATTTAGATAAAATTATGATTTTTCCCAAAGTCATACAATGATTCTCTCACARAATCTTCTCATGCACTTTTGCCCTTCCTTGCACAATGGGCTTTTCCTTATCTCATCCCCTGGTCATCCTTTCTTTTCTTGTTTTTACTCAAAATTAYCATTTTTCTTTGGCTGTGGATTCTCCCATCATTCTTTAACATTTCTATTTCTTCCTCCTATTATTTTCAAATTTACACATAAAATTATGATCTATTTGAATGATCCTGAAGAGTGCATCCATTGGGATGTCAGGACATATTCTTGGCATATGAGTTGTTTCCTTTGTCACCTATATTTCTTGGGTTTATGTTGGCTCCACCTATCAGTCAAAGACTGATGCAAAACTTAGTGTGTGCTGGGTGGAGTGTTAGAGATTTCCATGGAGTATGCATTCTGGGGTTCTGTTCTGGCTGAAATTTTGTTCCGTTTTTTGTTTTGTTTTGTTTTGTTTTTTATAGCTCTCTGCTAAATATATCCCCCATTTTAGCTTGAAGGACACAAGTAAAACAACATCAACTTGCCTGAGAAGATATCATAAAATCAAATGAATGAAAAATTTTGATGCAATAATGAAGAGGAATATAATTAGAACATTACATGATTCTATCTGTACACACACATGCACACACATTTAACTGTGGAAATTTTTCAGCAAGATCATTTTTTGACTGGGGTAATTAGGAACATTTTCTGAAGCAATGCTACTTTTTTTACTTATAGCTATACTTTCTGCTTATTGCTACTTTACTTATTTTCTATATTCAAAAATGACAAGTGGAGATTTTAGCAGAAGATCACAACAAAAGAAAAGTTATTAGACACTGTGAGATAAGGAACATTGGAGAATGAGACTTTCCAGGTGTGTTGATGAGGAACAGAATGTGTTGGATATGACTGGAACATGGGAGGGCAGGTGGAAAGCAAGATGGTAACATGAGATTAGAGGCTTTGAAGGCCTTGGTGAATATYTCAACAACCAAAGAAATCATTACGTTATATTTATAAATCATAATATTTTTAAAGTGCCAACTTTATATATACATACATATCAGGGATTGAACCCAGGGCACTCAGCCACTGAGCCAAATCYCCCTTCCTATTTGGTATTTTATTTAGAGACAGGGTCTCACTGAGTTTCTTAACTCCTCACTTTTTTTTTTTTTTTTCTGAGTCTGGTTTTAAACTG